AATTAAGATTGAGTCACTTTGTTTTTTCAGTAGATATCGACTAGAATGAGAGGAAGAAATTTTGGAGTTTGTCATGGTTGTAGAAGCAAAACGCACTACTTTGGACAATGCCAATCAAAACTCCGATGCCCTAGTTGCGACCTCGGATATCGAAAATGTTTTGAGGTCGAACGGGATACCGTTAATAAAGGGCGATTGTTCTTCACATGTAGTAATAACTGTGGATATTTCGATTGGGCGAAAGATGAATATTTAGGCGGGGAATCAAGTTCTGTCAATGGCACCTTGAATCGTGTGTCTAACGAGGAAAACGAAGAATTACCAAGACTCTTTGATGGGCTAGCTCGAATTACCGAGAAACGAGACGTCGACATATCATTACTTGTGACTTTCAGCAAGGGAAAAGGAATTGCCAAATGTGACGGTAAAGGAAAGGGGGTCGACATGAACGGGTGATTTGAATTACGTTTGTGGTAGAAGATGACTTCAATTACCTTTCAATTTGCTATGTGGAATTTGAGTTGGAAAACTAGGCTAGGCAAAACATGGTTGCCGAAGGATGACTTTTGTTCACCGTGTAATAAAAGGAGTTCGGTGTTTTGTAATGAAACTGAAAATCTTAATTTGGTAAACTGAAGTTTTATTTTGTAATGTTCAAAATTAGCTTTTTTTAGTTCCATCCTGGACTTTGAATTTCTATATGTGCAATTATCCACAAAACCTCCTAATATGACCTTTGATAATATATAGTAGAAATCATGAAACGGAGCAAACATACACTTTTGTCCTGGGTCCAAATATGAATTCAGTTGGAATAAGTCTGCAAATGTCAATTACATTGCATTAAAGCCTATTTGATTACCCACCAAATTGATAAGAGCAACAAACACGCTTAGACATGCATAGACAATAAGAAATTTTACTAAGATCAAATCAAATGTAACTCCAAATCCAAAATTCACGAGTCTGACGAATTTCAGATTTGTATATCAAATTAAGAGAGCTAAGTCCATGGCTAGCACAACGACTCCATTGAAAAACAGAAAATCATTACAAGAATTTCAGCTCTAGAATATATATCACACCATACATGTCTAGCTAGAATTTTTCACACGTATTTTCCTTCAGTTTCATCATAGCCCTTAGATTTTCCTTCAATATATATCACACAGCCCAAATGACTCTTTAGACGATTTTCCTTAGATTATTCAAGAACGACCACGTGACCATTGCCCATCCAAGCTTTCCTGTGTCCTGATAAGTTGAGGCATTAGCGACGATGATGCGTTCATATTTTGTACCCATCTACTATCGTCATCGACGGAATGAGTATCCATTCCTACAAAGAAATATAGCCATTTCAACAACACATACACAAAACCAGTAAACAAGACTTAAAAATTCATCTAGCAAAGACAGTAAGCCTCAAAATTGCTAAAAAAT